GGGGGTTTTGGGGGGGGGGGTTCAGGTGGAGTAGTGTGATCATCTCTGTTTATTTGGTGAGTGATTTTTAGGAAAACAGAGTATTTAGTTGTATAGTGTCCTAGTTAATTGAAAGGATCACATTGACATTCTCTTGGTACAAAAATGGAGATCATAGAAAACAACTGTAACATCGCTTCCTCTTCCCTCATAGACTCAAATATTTAGCCATTGGCCAATATGTATCAAGCTATATTGCCCTCTCTATCAAACTTATGTACACAATATGTTCTTTTATTTTTCTTCTGGCTGGAAAGGAGCTACTTTTAAATGGGTCACCGTGGAAAAAGAATCTATATAATCTTAGTAATTAAAGTAATCTTCTGCACCCCTTTAGTCTCCTTGGCAACAACTTTTATTCCCCTTAAGGGACATCCTCCACCTCCTACCCAGCAACATAATAAATCGAGAAAGGACAAAAGGAGAAGAGAGAAACTTCCAGGAATTGCTTTAAAGGGTGTTTGGATTGGCTTATAAAAAATAGCTTTTAAGCTAAAGCCAAAAACCATAAGTTGATAATACCCAACTTTTGGCTTTTGGCTTATATTTGTACTTTTTATGCCTAAAAGTAAGTGCCTTTAAGCACTTTTTATTATTGCCAAACACCACACCACACTAAAAAAGTGCTTAAAAGCCAATAAACACTTAAAATAAGCCGATCCAAATACCCTCTTACACCTCGAGTTCATAGATTGTTATCCTAAGTAAAACTTGCCTCATGAGAATTCTCATCAAGATGCATATTGCTATTTATTATAATTTGGTACGTGTCCACTAGTCATCCTATTATATGTTTCAGTAAAATGTTTCCGTAGGTTTTCTACTTTTTGGTATGCTTTTTGTTTACGGGCTTTGCCCCTTTCTTTAATGACTGCTTTTATACGGCTTTTTGGTACTGTCCCTTTTTGTCTATATTTTCATTAATGTGGTGCTTATGCTTTCCTGAGCTGAGGGTCTATTGGAAACAACATCTCTATCCTCATAAGGTAAGGGTAAGGTCTGTGTACACACTACCCTCCCTAGACCCCACAGTGTGGGATAAGACTGGGTATGTTGTTGTTGTTGTTGTTGTTGCCCCTTTCTTTAATGAAATTTACTTACCTTATAAGAAAAATGTTTTAGTAAAATGTGGGTGTTCAATTATGCAGTAAGAGGCAGGTTGTCCCATTGTCTTCATAACTCATCTCTATCCTACAGGTAATTGATATGCTGCTGTTTAAGGGCATGGAAGAGTTGAAGAACGTTGTGGACCACTCCAAGCAGAGGCACCACATTGTTGGCAAATACGTCGTTGGTAACCAAGGTCTTGTGCAGGACCTTGAAGCCAAAGATCAGGGCAGCTCTAATTTCCTGAAAAACTTTTACAGCAGCAACTACTTCTAGATTTCTTTGTAAAACTCTGTTGTCTGGGGTTTTTTCAGTTGTGGATGAAATTCCAAATAATGATGCCATTTGCTTGCATCCTACTCTTGGATAAATGTTTCTGCTCTTTATCGGTAATGAGTACTCTTCTGAGTCCAGAACAACTTGTTGTTTTTGTTTGCTTTGAGATGGAAGGCGTTCCCTTTATTGTTTATCATGTTGGAGCTATTTTATTAGTGTCATAATCTGAAGGAATCTTTATCCGAGGGTAGGGGGTAGGGGTAAGGTTGCGTACATCCTACCCTTTCCAGATCGCACTTGTGCGATTACACTGGGTGGTTGTCATAATCTGAAGGTAAAGGTGTACCTTGTTATCTGACTTCTAATAGAATAGGTTTCATGATGAGCACAAGTTCACAAATTCACCAAGCTCCCCTCTTTGAGACTTGAAAAACTTCAGTTACTTGAACCTTGAGTGATGGTTTGCTTTTGCTGTTGAGGCATCTATATGGCAAACTACTCATAGAATCTGCATCTTCAGAGTTAAGCCAGTGGTTCTACTTTCAGTAAAGTTGTCAAGAAAAATGTACTCTTTACCATCTTCTAACTCTTCGTATCCCCCAGCGTTAAGTTGAGGAGGTAATTGGTCGATTAGGCGTGCTTCTAAGAGACGGATTCGAGCATAGAGGTCTATCTCCAGATCCTCAAGCTCTGGGAACTGACGACCCCAAAGAAAATGAGAATTGGAGAGAAGGGGGGGCGCCGGATTATCCTGCCTAACTGGAAGTGAATTTGTAAGAGCTTCCGCTAAGATTCTGACTTATTTGGAAACTAGATTTGCTGCCCCTGCAGACTCTTCTTTTGAAGAATCTGATTCGCTAACATTGGTATACTGAATGGGTCTTCCTTGCCAACCTTCGCTTTCTGAAAATTGAGGACAAGTGAGGCTTGCTCAGTTGGTAAAAACACCTCCCCTCACAACCGTTAGGTCCTGGGTTCAAGTCACGCTAGAGGGGAAGTGTGAAAACACTATAGATTCTCCTAATTTGGGAGGGGTTTTAAAAAAAAAAACTGAAAAATGAGATTGTTCCCGGCCCATAAAAAGATAGCTCAAGAAGGTTTTTGTGGTTAAGATAATGATGTTTTTCGTTGTGCAGCAAAGGTTTCGCTGAACTCTCCTTCATTTTCTGTGCATGACCCTAGAGAGGGTATTGGTTATGTATGGTGGTTGCAAAATGGTTAAAAGAAAACAGTTAACTACTCGTATTATCCACTAAAAAATAGGTTGGATAATAAACTTTTTAAAAACGGATTAAATATAGATAAGAACCATATTATTCATTTAGAAAATGGATAACCAATGGGTTTAACTTTTACGCTTGGAAAACCTCAAATTGGGGTTTCTCAAGTTTGAGAGACTAGAAATTCTCCCAAAAGTGATCATATTCAAGAAACCATAAATAATATGGTTATTCATATTTTCCGCCGGTTAATCCGTTTTTTATTTGTATTGCATATGGGTCAGGTCGAATAGTTTATCCGTTTTTTAATCACCCATTTTCTACCCGTCTCATATCCGATCCGATCCGCATGTTTGCTAGTTACTTACGATAACAATTACATCTCAATCCCAAGACGGTTGGGTCAACTAAATGAATCATCGTTAATCATGTCGCTTCATTTAAACTTATTTTAGTCTAATATGGAGTAAATTATTTGTTTTGTATTATGAATTCGCTATAGTTTCTACTGACAAGATTAAAAAGTCTTTAAGGAACATTAGACCTTGAGAAAGCATATAAATAAAAATACAAACAACTTCCGAAATAATTGAGTAGAATAGTGATGGCAGTAATGATATGGAACTAAACAAGTAAACCAAGGAAAAGAAACACAGTAGAAGATATTCAAGTAAGCTATAAAAAGGAAATAACTACGAAACCAAAACTATAGGATACTTCACGTGGAAATTGAAATCACGAGCAAGCTTCCTTGAAGTTTGACTTGCAACAAAAAATTTGCACATTTAATTTCATAACTAATTTACCATTTATAGTTATAATAAAGTGCTAATCCCACACAAATGACTAGAATAAGCTGATTATTAGTGGAAATTATGGATCGAAATTTGTGTAGTTGCAATTGTAGTACTTACTACTTAGTGGTGTGATCACAAACCCGAATCAAGCTAACTGGCCTTAGTAGGTAAAATAGGCAACATGTAGATATATCTGGGGTAAATTTAAACTCTCATCAAATCTACCGTCGTAAATGTGGGAACTATAACTTTATTGTGATCAAATTTCTATATTTTTTGAATAATTAAATAAATTTAACGTCGCAAAGATAATTTCCTATGAAATATATTTTCTTTTGAAAGCTTATACGGATACTTATAATTAAGAAAGAGATTAAGAGGGTGTTTGGCTAAGCTTATAAGCTGGTCAAACTGGTTTATAACCACTTTTTGGCTTATCTACGCGTTTGGTAAAACTAAAAGTGCTTATAAGCCAAAAATAAGCCAAAAGCCATATGTTGGTTTCCCCCAACTTATCAAATTTCAACTTATAAGCACTTTAGGTTTGACCAAAATATTTACTATTCTATCCCAAAAATACTTCTTTTTAAAACAAAACTCTTCTACCCAATTCTTCAGCAACTAATTATTAGTTTCAGCACTTTTATCCAAACATGTAACTGATTATTTTTTTAATCAGCTTCAGCACTTAAAAGTGCTTTTCAGCACCTAATGCTTATCAGCTACTCTAAATCAGCTAACCCAAACGGGCTCTAAAATCATTTTCCCGCATCTTTGATGGTAAAAATTTATCTCTCAGTATTTACATTAAACTACTCCTTCTAGTCCATAATAAGTGACAATTTTACCTTTGACACAGCCATTAAGGAAATACGAAGTCTTAAAGAAAAAAAAAGATATATTCACTAAATTAACCTTAATTATTCTTACCTTGACACATTGGAATATGTAAATAAGGGCAAAATTTGAATAAATAAAATTAATTACTTCTTGATTATGTTAATTGACACTTATTTTGGACCAAAATAAAAAGATAAAATAGTCACTTATTATGGACCGGAGGAGTAATACACTCAATCGTATTTAAGTTTAAAAAAAGGTAAAAATATACATTAACTAACTATTTTTATGTAATACAAACAAAGTATGGAAATATAGAATGACCCTAACGGGAAGTGTCTATCTAATATGGCACGAGAGGAACTTAGGCCTCATTTATTTTTTTAAAGATTAAAACGTTTGAATCTCAATACACATATAAATATCAAGATGTGTATTAAGATTAAGACATTCGAATCTGAATACACATCTGAATATATTAAGATGTGTACTAAGATTTGAATAGAAATAATTAAGAATGTTTGATTTTTAACATCTTAATGTATAAAATTTATCTATATTTGAAAATTAATAAACATAAAATTCAAATAAAATAACTAATCTAATATTCTACCAATAAAATATATAATTTTTTAAAATATGATAGTTGGTGGTGTTGATGGCTAACGCCGACTAGAGGCGGTGGTTGGTGGTAGTTTTGGTTGATGATGGTGGTTCATGCTAGTAGCTAGTAGTGATTGGTAGTGGTGGCGATTATGATTGAGGATGGTGGTGGTGGTTGGTGATAGTTAATAATGGCGGGTGTTGGTAGCATTGTGACTGAGGAAGATGGTGGGTGGGTGGTGGTAGGTTATAATGATGGGCAGTGCCGGCTGTGGTTGTTGATGGGGTGGTCAGTTCTAGTAGTTGTGGTGGATGAGTATTGATTGTGGGTGAGAATGATGGTGGTCGGAGTGGTGGGGATAGTGGGTGGTGATGGTCGATAATGGTGGCAGCTATAATTGAGGATGATGGTGGCGCAGTGGTGGTGGAGGAGGTGGTAGTAGTTGATAATGATAGGCGGTGGCAGCAGTTAATAATGAATATGTGATAATATATTAATGAAATTAAGTCTCTGTTATATATCTGAATCATACAGACCTATTCAGATCTATTAAGTGGTTGTGAAGTCAAAAAAAAAAAACAATCATACTTAATGATTAAGATCTGAATAATTAAGATTCAGACTTTAAAAACAAACGTACTTAATATCTGAGATCTGAATAATTAAGATTCAGACCTCCATTAAGTGCAAACAAATGAGGCCTTAAGATACTTTCAAGGCAAGTAGAGATTAGTTAAGGTTAAAAGATATGGAAAATGGCCAAATATACTCTGAGAAAATATTTAAATATACCTTTCGTTATTCTTTGGTATATCCATGTCGTAACATTATTGGTTCAGATATACACATCTTCTGTTAAGTTTGTCTACGTGACACTCATATTTGATGAGTTGGATGCCACATGGCACGCCATCTCAAAGCCCCTAACCCATTTTACCCCTCCCTTTTATTTTTTTCCACCACATAAATTTTCTTCCCTCTACTACTATTGCCACCATTGTCGTTACCATAAAAAAATGTATTTCACATTTTAGTCTTTTATATATGGATTATGGGCGCTGATGTGGCATCCACCTCATCAAATATCAGTGCATAGGATTTAGATGTCCACCTTGGACAAACTTAACGGATGAGCGGTATATTTGAACTAATAATATTATGGCATGGGTATATTTGGATTTGGACCCAAAGTATAACAAATGATATATTTAAGTATTATTTACCTCCTATAGCAAAGGTTGATACCTTATTTATTTTAAAGGCAAATAAATACCCTTTTAAAAAATTATATTCCATAGCTACCTTTTGATTTTTTATAACCAAATATCTATTTAGGTCACCTCCTACCATTAAGCCACAAAATAAGCTTTGTATTATTTTTCTCTCTCCCCTCAAATTTCTAATATCCCCTCAAAAGTGAAAGAAAGGTAATTCAAAAAAGCTGCTAACTGAGAAATCAAAAAGTGGCTGCCAACTGAGAAGTGACTAGTCTGCTCGATTTCCTCCATTCTAATAATCAAAAGTGAAGAAAGATGAAGGAGATGAATAGCAAGAACGAAACCAAGTGGTGAAACTCCATCTCAGTACAAGAAAGAAATGTAATTCGATGCTTCCGAAACCAAGGGCTGACACATACTTCCGAAAGCCAATAATTGAAAGGATTAGTTACTGGATACTAATGTTGCTTCAACGAGACGATATTAGGGTTGTTCTTGAACAAAGACGACAGAGTTGGGGCTGAGCAACTTGAATTTTTTGTTAATATTTTTCAATGTATCTCACTGTACTTCCATGTATTTCATTGTATTCATTGTCGTTTTTTTCATTGTATTTCAATGTATCTCGCTGTTTTCTATGTATTTCATTGTATTCATTATTTTTTTTCCATTGTATTTCAATATATCCCAATGTATTCTATGTATTTCATTGTATTCACTGCTTCGCTATATTCCATGAATGTATTCAAATATTTTTTTAATTAATATAATTTATGTATTCAGATGTATTATATAATTTCTCTAAAAATTGCTATGTTTTTTGGTTTTTCGGTTGAGAATCTTTTTTATAACTGAAAATGCAAAATTTGTGTGTTATAATTGAGTTTGTTGAGTTATATTAGGAGTCTATTATGTTAATTGATTCACTTTCCGTTTAAAAACTGTAATCCCCTATTTTACGCCGTGAATACAGTCGAATACAATAATTTATCCAACTGTAATCCCATGTGTTCACGCCATGAATACAGTCGAATACACTCGAATACAATAATCTGTCTAGCTGAAATCCCATGTTTCACGCCATGAATACAGTCGAATACACTCGAATACAACAACTAATTAGATGGACTTCCCTGATTCACGCCTATTTTTGCAGCTGTATTCATGAATACAATAGCTTAAATATATCCAATACACCTTACAATAATCTGTCTAGCTGTAATCCCATGTTTCACGCCATGAATACAATCGAATACACTCGAATACAACAACTAATTAGATGGACTTCCCTGATTCATGCCTATTTTTGCAGTTGTATTCATGAATACAATAGCTTAAATATATCCAATACACCTTATAACAACAGAAAAAGTATCTACAATCGTAATATAGCAAATGGTATCTATAGATAGCTACTTACCACTAAAAGATAGTGCTTTATGAAAATTTCTCTATATTTAAACTTTTTCTCATAGTAAAGGGATATATTTGGCCCTTTGCCAAAAAAGGTAAGAAAAAATATATAATTTCTCCGAGAAAGCAGAAGTGATATGACTTATGATATCAGATTCAGACAGAATGATTATTAGTAATTAAACATAAAATGTAACAATATTGGTTACAATTTTGCAACTTCACTCTACATTTTTTATTCGATAAACAACAATAACAAACTCAGTTAAATTTTACAAGTGAGATCTGAAAAAAATAATATATACGCACATCTTATTTTATTTTGTAAAGGTAAAAAGGTATTTTCGATAGACTATCGGATAAAAAAAAAAAAGTACAATTTTAGCAACAAGTAATATTAAGATAAAAAAAATTAAAAAAAGTAATAATAAGATAAATAGAGCAACCACTAAAGGATATTGTGTAGTGAATCAGACTACTCCTCCCTTAACCAGAGGTCTCGAGTTAGAGTCCTGGGTATGGAAAAAACTTTGGTAGGGAACGCTTCCCTCCGAATGGGGTTCTATACGATGTGAATTCGGATATAGTCGAATTCCAATGCGGATACCGGACACCGAATGAAAAAAAATAAAAATAAATAGAGCAAAGAAGTAGTAGAAATGAGGGGAAAACAAAAATTTAGCCCAGCCGCAATAAGGAGAAGGTAAGCAGAACGTGCGGAGAAGAAGTGTGAAAAACGTCCCAAAATTTGGTATTGGGTCTTTCTCTCGTCTCGTGTTTGTTTGTTTGTTTGTTTTCTATTTCTTTCAAACCCTTTTCCCCTTTATTTCCACTTTACGTTGAATCAGCGGAGACGCATAAAACAAGTTAGAGAGAGAAAGCATATATATACAGATATTTTTAGCATTTTCCGATCGCACTTTTCTTCTTCTCTTCTTCCTCCTCAAACTTAGGGTTTCTTCTCTTCACTTCTTTCATTGTATGTATCTTCACTTCTCTCTCTCTCTCTCTCTTTAACTTTCTCATGCTTCACATGTTTATTTCTTATTTTATTTGTTTTGATTTTTATCTGAATTCTGTGTGTTTTGATGTGCATCTCTTGTAAAAATTGCTGTTTTCTGTTTTACGTTTTTTTAAAAAGCAGAGTTTTGGTTCGTTTTCTTTGTTTTTTATAATTGTAATCTCTGTGGTTGTATGTGCTAATTCAGCAATTATTTTGTTTTTACTGTTTTTTTTTAAAGCCAGAATCTTTTTTGCATTTTCCTTTGTTGTTGTTGTTGGGTTGGAATTTTTTTTTCGTTTTCTCGTTTTTATCTGAAAATGTGCTTATTTTGCAGTGCTTTTCGTTTTTGCTGTTTTGGGTTTTTTAAAAGTAGAATTTTGGCTGCATTTTATCTGTTTCTCTTGCTTTGTCTTTGAAAGAAGAATTCTTTTTTGTTTCATTTTATTTGATTGGATTCTATGTGGGTTTGATGTTTCTATTATTATGCAATCATTTCTCTTTTTATTTTGCTGTTTTGGTTCTCCGAAATGCAGAATATTGGTTGCATTTTCTCTATTTCTGTTGGTTAGGTTGCATTTTCTGGATATCGGTAGTTGTGCATGTTTTACATGCTTGATCTGTTGTAAGATCACCATTTTGGTGTTTGAATATTATTGTCCTGCATGTAAAATTTGAATATGTTTGCTGATGTTCTTTTTTTTTTTTTTCTTGTTTTGATTTGTTATGAAATATCATCAGGCTTGAGAGTTGATTTGATGTTGACGAAAATTGTTAGCTTTTTAGTGGAATTGTGGTGCTAGGAAGAAGAAGTAACTTGCATTTGAGGGTTTCTTAACCTATCCCTGTTGAAAAAAAGGTTAGCTGAATTTTGTGTTGGTAGAAAGGACTTGTGGAAAGGTATTTGGTTTTGATTTCTGGGTGTTTTGACTATGCCAACATCGTGGGCTGATTCAGTTTCTGCAGCCGAGAATTTGGCTGCTGCTGCTCCCCCAAAGTCAGCATACGTTCCACCACATCTTAGAAATAGACCTGCTTCAACTGATCCTCCTGCACAGGCTTCCTATGCTGGGGCTGCTGCATCTGGTCAGGGCCAAAGTGGTTATGGTGGCCCAAATGTAGGTGGAAGTCGTTGGAGTGGTCCTAGGAATGATTTCCAATCTGGTTATGGTGGTGGAGGAGGCCGTGGCGGGGGCTGGAATAGCAGAACAGGTGGTTGGGATCGAGGGAGGGAGCGGGAAGCTAACCCGTTTGCAGATGATGATGCTGAACCCTTTGTTGAACCAGAGAATTCTGGGATCAACTTTGATGCGTACGAGGATATTCCTGTGGAGACAAGTGGGGATAATGTGCCCCCTCCTGTGAACACTTTTGCTGAGATTGATCTAGGTGAGGCTGTAAACCAAAATATCAGGAGATGCAAGTATGTTAAGCCGACCCCTGTGCAACGGCATGCTATACCAATTGTACTCTCTGGTAGAGATTTGATGGCTTGTGCTCAGACTGGCTCTGGCAAAACTGCTGCCTTCTGCTTCCCCATCATAAGCGGTATCATGCGGGGCCAATTTCCAAGACCTCCACGTCCACGGGTGGCATTTCCACTGGCTCTTATTCTTTCTCCGACAAGGGAGCTCTCATGCCAAGTAAGTTTATGGGGCTTGTTGGTAATGCACTCAAAACGGTGGGGGAAAGAAGATCAATTTGGTTTCTTTGGACTATGCTGTATGGTTTGATTTTCAAAAAAGTTATTGAATGTCATGTTTTGGCTTGCAGATCCATGATGAAGCTAAGAAATTCGCATATCAAACTGGTGTCAGGGTGGTTGTTGCTTATGGTGGTGCTCCCATAAACCAACAGGTTGTATTTCTTCTCTTGTTTGCTTGGTGCTTTCACTTTTTGCTAATTCTATTCAGCTGAGATCGTCTGTGGCATCTATTTGGATTATTTGTTACGCCCTTGTTGCTCAATTACCTACAGTTCTCTTGGTTATTTGGTTTCTTAAGAAGACAGGACTATACTTGTGTCCTACACTCGCGACAAAGTTTATGTTGTCCTGGAGATTCCTCTACAGTGATAAAGGATAGAAGTTTTTACGTTGATCGGGGATAAAAGCCATCGTCATAGGCCACTTTTACCATTTCTATGTTGAGGCTGTTTGAAATTCTCGCGCCTATCACTCTATCAGAGATATTTTTTTTTTGTGAAAGAAGAAACATTGCTTTCGTTGAAGCTCGATCTTGCCTGCACTTGCCATATTTTCGCACCTGCTTTATCTTTCCCAATTTTGTTTGATGTCTTACAGAAGTTGTACACATGTGAAATTGGCCTTCAATTCAGTGAATTTTATCTTTCAGCAAGAGGTTCTTTCTAGTCTAATTACATGACAATTTTTGAATGGTCTACAAGATATTGAATATGCAAATTGTTGTATGGTTTCGCGCATGCATTATGAGAGAGAGAGACTTCATGTGTGCCCAATAAATATATTAAAATGTCTATCATCATTAAAAGCAGTTCAGAGTTGATTATAGATGTTTTTGGGGCGTGACAGCTTCGAGAACTAGAGAGAGGAGTGCATATTCTTGTGGCAACACCTGGACGATTGGTTGATTTACTCGAGAGAGCTAGAGTCTCCTTACAGATGATAAGGTACTTGGCTTTAGATGAGGCAGATCGAATGCTTGATATGGGTTTTGAACCTCAAATAAGGAAAATTGTGCAACAAATGGACATGCCTCCACCAGGTGTAAGACAGACAATGCTATTCAGTGCCACATTTCCCAAAGAGATTCAGGTCAGTTCTCTATTTGGACGGGCTCTTTGCCTTTCAACCTATTCTCTCTCCTCTCTCTCTCTTTTAACCTTTTTAAAATTAGAAGTTTAAATCTTGATCATTCTGTAGACTTATATTTTTGAATTTAAAGATGGATATGCCTCTTGCTGCCACAATATTTATTTACATTGTTCTCGAGCTGACCTGAGTTTTTCTGTTTCTCCTCAGTTGTTTTTTGCCTATATCTACGCTCAATTAATAGCATAGGGAGTGAATTGGTATTATCACTGTGAATATACATTTTTGTGACAAGTTTGCTACTTCCATATTGCAGAGACTGGCATTGGATTTTCTTTCAAATTATATCTTTTTGGCCGTGGGAAGGGTTGGCTCTAGTACCGATCTGATTGTCCAAAGAGTTGAATATGTTCAGGAGACTGACAAGAGAAGCCACTTGATGGATCTCCTTCATGCACAGAGGGCTAATGGTGCTCATGGCAAGGTATTAGCCATCTGTTATTCGATTTGACTTAATTATTGGTGTTTATTAGGTTGGCTGAGCAATAGAATGCTGTTCCAGCCTGTAAGTATACATTCTGAGCCTTCCGTTTCATTGGTAGTTGGTGGAAAAGCATTCATAGTGGAAGTTAGGTACTTGCCTGTATTCTTCTGAAGTATTGCCTTGTTCTGTATAGGGGTTTTCAGGATTGGAGACTATATCTGTATCTTTAATAGAGAACCTGAGAATTTCAAAACTCATTGTGTTGTCTAATGTAGTAATTCTTGGAATTTAGTCATTTATTGATGGTGATGCTAATGACAGAGACCAAAGTTTGAGAAATTAGAGGTAGAACAGTGTAAAGATTAATGAAGATGTTAAAGCAGATAGTCGTCGCTTAAAATTAGCAATTTGCACAATTTGCTGCATTCCTGGTTTAGCATGTTATGTTAGTGGTCAACCGTATTGAAGAGTGAGATGCATAAGCGAATCTTATGGCTGTTCTTTACTATTTGCCCTGTAAGAGACGGTTCAATTTTCTTTTGCTATTTAATCTTTGGTTCAAGTGCCAGAAATTGTTGTTTGAAATTCTAATTCGGCTGGTCTTTAATTTTCAGCAAGCTCTTACCCTTGTTTTTGTTGAGACAAAAAAAGGAGCTGACTCATTGGAGCATTGGCTTTGTATGAATGGTTTCCCTGCTACTGCTATTCATGGCGATAGAACTCAGCAGGTATTGATGCTTTCTCTAGTGTGATTCTGGTTGGTTGATCTCGTGAGACATTTAGCTATGATATGGTTGTTTATTCTCTATTATAAGTGATGTGCTTTTTGACCTTTTTCCTGATTCTCTTACGCTTACGAGTTCAAATAAACTTTTTTGGTTTGTCGTTTTGGCTGACTTAAAATGTGTCCAGTTCCCGGCTTTTCTCATAGAAAAATGTCCCGTCCCCGTGTTCTCTTTTGAATCAGAACCATGGAGAACGGAGGGCGATTTTATATTGATCCTCTGGGTTTAGCTGTGTTCGGAAGGCAATGCTCTAGAATCTGGCATGTGAAACTTCTGTTCTTGCTTTTCCTTTATCTTCTCTTGTTTATAGAAGAATAAAGATGTGAAATGCTGCTCCCTTAGAAGAGTGAAGTATACACACTAACATTGGAAGAACTTGGGATTAGTTCCCAACTCTTCTTCCTTTTATTTGATCACTAGAGTCCTATTTCAACTGTGTCGTATTTCAACTCTTGGGGATTGAGTATTTTTCTTTGTTGGAGCAGATAGTACCTCTCAGCACCTTCTCTCTCTCTCTT